GGAGGTCGCAAATATCTACCAAGTTCTCCTGATGTGGTTACAACCATAAAGACATTTGATTGTGATTTTGGTGCGCTTCTTAGTCCGGACAAGGTCTTCGGTCCAGCCCGATCCATTACAGTTATTTTTTTCTCGTATCTTTTTGCCCCATTTCTGTTGACGACTCTTGTTCTGGTTTCCTTTTTTCATTCGTAGAAATTCCGCCGACTAACTTCTGCATATGCACGTCGCCAATTTTGTGAAGAATACTTTCTACGTGATAATATCATTCTTGTGAGTCTCCATGAATTGTGATCGTGGGAGAACTACAGGTTCTAAACCATTGCATCATATTCTGATTTCATTTATTTAACTGTATACACCCCTGTTCTCAGTTTGGTAGTGTTTCTTCTGTCACGGAGTATCCATTTTCAACTGTTTTGCAGTTTGGTTTTCCGTGATCTTTGTGTTAGAACGGAGAGATTTTGGGATATACAGTGTGGGCAACACAGTTAGCTCCAAAGCCTGCTTTGTTCCTTCCGAGCAGTTTTTTTCTTTCACTTCTTACTTGTGACTGCACGACGTTGCTTGCATGCGNTGCGGCAAAAACCACATCCCCGGTAACCGCTTTAGGGGCCCGAGATACTCAATAAGTGTGGCCCGGTTCATTGAAATGCACAGATCGATTAGGTAGAGTTGGTGTTTACGTCTACCAGGCTGGGATGCAAATGACTCCGTAATTGGTAAGTTGGAGACACTGAAGGACATGGTAGCCAACTGATAGCAGTGGCGTTCTTATCGTTTTTCATCAGGCTTAAAGAGACATGCATGCACAGTCACCTTGTGTACTCTGTCTGTTAACCATGGTGGTTCACTTTCTTATTTCGTCCTCCCTCCCCCCCAAAAAATAGACCCACTTCTTGTCCACCTTTGATATTCGCACAATTTTTGGATGCATTGCGAGTTTCGCAGTGATCAGTGACATTCACTTCACTTCAGTTCGCTTTTCGATGATGATGCTGATGATGACTTGTAGGTACTTGTTTGTTGTGTAAAGGGTAGAGGTTCATCCTCAAACGAAGAGCCTAGCAGTTTTTTGAACTTCACTTGTAGCAGGCAGATTGTGAACTCTCCACGAAGACGGCTAATTTTCCGAAGAGTTTCACTTTTGGAATATAGTGAACCAAAAAAACGGCTGCATTACATCGGAGGTAAATGGTTTGTTATTCATATACCTTGTTTGTGGATGGCCGACGAATAATCAGCGTTATGCATTTAATCGGTCTTGTTCCATTCTTCACTGATAAATCAATAATATTTAACAAGCGCACTAACTTTTCCGTAATATGCAATTATTTTCTGAAATTTTACCGAAGTGCACTAGAATATTTTGAGGTGGGAACGCTTGGTTAACACGGCTAATATAGGCCTTTGAAGCTCTCCGAAATTATTTCCCTTTTTATTCAGCGCTTCGTGTAATTGACTTTGTAGGGTATTAAATCTTTCGGGGAGGTTTTTTGTTTTAGAGGACGAAAGCCTAGTTATTGATGCCTGCCATCAGGGGGTTTTCTTACTGTTAGTCGCCGTGGGGACTTGGACAGAGCGCAATATTCACCACGAAGCTAACTAAATAGTGATGTCCATCCAGTAATCGATCAATGGAATTCTTGCTCATAGATGTACCCGGGAAGTCCGTCTCCATGCGTTTCTTTAACTGTCTCAACGTGGCTGTAGGGGTCTCATCGACAACAGAGAGAGAAAATACTGAGGCCATACGAGATGTACCAAATGGCATGACGATACAGGCACATCGTCCAAACCTACTCCAATCACTATGTGGTGCGGCGTTTGATACCGTTACTACAGTCAACTGCGCAGCATACGATCACCACACCTCATTTATTAGTCAAGCTTTGCAATATCAAAATTTGTAAAATATAAATTTTTGTAACATTCGTTGACCTCAGAATATTCCGATAGTTTTCGTTCTGACTCGCTTACAGCGGTGATTAAAGGTTGTGCGTCGAGGCTAAAGCATTGCGGGTTTTGGCTATAGGCATGTAGATCAAGGCTAAATGATTGTGGGTTTTGGCTAAAGCTTGATGGGAAAAGGTGTAGTCGACAACGGTCATCCAACCTTAATCAGGGTCCATTTGACAGCATTATCAAATCCTCAAGCAATACACTGCAGAATACTTTTCTACGCTAAGGACCGTCAACTTCTATGTCTTCGTTGGTCATGATAAACATTTTATCTGCTTATTTGGATGGTGGTGGTGCAGTGGTTTAATCGCTGTCAGCAGTGTGCTTTAGTCTCTGTGGACCGAAGTTTGTGCCCCGCCACCGTCATCCAACTTCGTTAGAAGGCAGCTTTGTTGTCGTCCAGTTCAATATCACAGCTGACCTAACGTGGTTCGCCACTCCAAGTTATCGGTTTACATCTCTGAACAGCAGGCCCTCGTGACTATGGGGCATTCCCCGTCTGCTGTTCATCACACTAAGCTGTGTTATAAAAATATGCGTTCGGTAAGATTCCATGCTTCACCGTGACAGACAATTAAGTTGTCAAGACGCTTTTCGAAATATCAGCTTAGTATATATTTGATCGAATATGCGCATAACGCATCACAAATTTATTCACGTAGTATTTTTAGTTTATTTTACTCCGAGCCACTTGGAATTGTTATAGGTTATCAATCGCTAAGGCCTTAGATGTTTTCTTTCCGCAATAATTTATCATCATTTCTGTTTCTGTGCAGGGAGATGGTTTTCACAGATTGTCTTATTTTGTAACTCCATATTTGCACTGGATGACTTTCGAATCCATATACAGTCGTTATTTTTCGCTCTACCTAGTGAACCCTTGACCGACACCCGAAGGTCTAAATGTTCTTTGCTTTAATCGGCACTTGGTAACCTATCTTTATCGTTGGAAAATTCTCATAAATCTATTTTCTACGTGTTCTAGATAGGTATGAGACACTAACACACTATTGTGTTTCGGTTGAAACACTATTCCACCGCATGAGTGTTTTGGTGTTGACATGTTTTCTTAGTTATACATCGTTGAAATACATCTTCAAAACTTCCAGCATTATTTCAAAATAAATGACTTACAAACGCAGTATTCCCGCCGGCTTCTGCACACTCACGTGTACGACCATCTTTGTGGTTTTCATTTACACAGACCGTGCGATTGGGGGTCACCGAACGGGTTGTGCAAAACAATTCAAGTCGCAGTTTTGATTTTCATACTGAGCAATTAGTCAACATGTGATCTTTCTCGGTTCGCCACTTCAAACACCACTTTTGCTATATCCCTTGCTACTTGGGTAGAAGTCACCAGAACACAATAGTCCGACAACTGAATTAACCGAGCTCACTTGACACACTGATCAGGCAAGACAGTCGACTCGGGTTAAAAGTTTAGGGAAAACAGTCCACGCGCTGTCTCACGTGTGTGTCAATCCGCATTCACTTGGTCATGCGGTGTGTGAGGGCCTTGTTAGTCAGCGATGACCGGTGTGTGTGTGTGTGTGTATGTGTGTGTGGATGGCTGTGCTCGCGCTCGCGAGCACGCACATACCTGGGTTTCTCCGCTCGGCCATTTCAAAGTTCCATAACAGCGATGTAAATCAGTGTAACTATTGGTTCCAACTCCTAAATTCGTAATTACCCTAGTGGTATGCAACAAGAATAAAGGCTCAACGTCACGACTCCCTACATTCAGCAACCCGATTAACATGCTCCAGATGGGAAAAGTAATTTGATGCAAACAGTGGTTTTTCCCTTGTGGACACATGGCCAGAGCATGCAGCAACAGCTGAAACTGGCGCACGAAAGTGCATGGTTAATGGTTGTAAAAACTGAAACTGGCACAGAGCATGCATCCGACGATTGTCCACAAAACATCAGTTATTACGTCGAATTCACAGACAACTCGCAATGGTGAACATCAAACCAATGAATTTACACTCGGAGTTGTTTAAATCGCCCTTTTTGACCAATCAATTTCTAAAATCTTGAATTTGAA